GTGTATTCTGTATTGTGTACCGTGTATTCTGTATTGTGTACTGTGTATTCTGTATTGTGTATTGTGTTTACTGCTATATACAGGATATGTTTCTTATTAATGGTGTCTATATATAATTATTTTTATTTATCTATCTATATATCTTTTAATTAGATTAACTCTTTTATTTTTACCTTTCAAATCTATCTATCTATCTATCTATATAATTATCCACCTTCTATCTATCTATTACCTATATATCTACTTATGTGTTTATATATTAATATTTATCTATTTCCTGGCAACTTCTCCTTGTAGCACTCCCTTTTACTGAAAATGATGATAAAGTGACCAATACGTAGAATTTACACTAAACCGCTAATATTGCAAAGTTCTAATTTGAACAAAATTACAAGAAAAAGTCTAAATACAGTGTTCTCCAAAAAATGAAACTTTAGAATTTATTCAGCCTGTTCCTTCTTGTATATTTGGTTCCCTGCAACTTCAAACTTTTTTTTTGCTAAATTTTGTTAGGAATTTCATTTCTAGACTGTTTGGTCTTTAATCTGGTTTTAAGTGACACGTCTTATTCACAACAGTTCCCTTAAAAGATTTGTCAGATTAAGATATCAATCATTTTCTGTTTGAAAATTCATTTTTTTTAATTGTGGCTTCTGTCGAAACAAATTTTTTAACTTTACAAATAATAGAGGTAATTGGCAGAACTTTTTTTGTTTGAAAAATCGACAAAATATCGGCCACATTATTGATAAAACAAAGCTTTCAGTGTACCGCAGGCATACCCCCTTTATAAATAAAATGACAAAAAAAAATAAAAATACTTGAAAAATGATTTCTTAGAAACAAACTCATCTTAAGCCATTTTGAAAAATTTCAAACCAAATAAGGAAAACAGTAACAAATGATTTTTTAAAATAATAATTTTTTTCTGAGAGTTTTTGCGGGAAAATTTCCCACGGCCTCCCCCCCGCCCCCCGGNAGTTATATTATTAGATTATTACTGAAGTGTCTGTATTCTGAAGTGTCTGAATTCTTAAGTGTCTGAATTCTGAAGTGTCTGGATTCGTCTTCTTATTTTGTTATGTCTAACTGTCTAACTATCAAACTGTGAAAACTGTCTGTGTCTTTAATTGTTTATTTTTCCAATTGTCATATATATACATGTTTGTGAATTAAAAGTAAAAAATTGTAAAGGATTTTTCATCATATTAATCTTAGTTCTTTTAAACGTATAGGTTTTAAAATGAACATTGAACAGCAACAGAAGTTATATTATTAGATTATTACTGAAGTGTCTGTATTCTGAAGTGTCTGAATTCTTAAGTGTCTGAATTCTGAAGTGTCTGGATTCGTCTTCTTATTTTGTTATGTCTAACTGTCTAACTATCAAACTGTGAAAACTGTCTGTGTCTTTAATTGTTTATTTTTCCAATTGTCATATATATACATGTTTGTGAATTAAAAGTAAAAAATTGTAAAGGATTTTTCATCATATTAATCTTAGTTCTTTTAAACGTATAGGTTTTAAAATGAACATTGAACAGCAACAGAAGTTATATTATTAGATTATTACTGAAGTGTCTGTATTCTGAAGTGTCTGAATTCTTAAGTGTCTGAATTCTGAAGTGTCTGGATTCGTCTTCTTATTTTGTTATGTCTAACTGTCTAACTATCAAACTGTGAAAACTGTCTGTGTCTTTAATTGTTTATTTTTCCAATTGTCGTATATATACATGTTTGTGAATTAAAAGTAAAAAATTGTAAAGGATTTTTCATCATATTAATCTTAGTTCTTTTAGACGTTTAGCTTTAAAATGAACATTGAACAGCAACAAACGTTATATTATTAGATTATTAGTGAAAATTGTTGCATTGTGAGAAAATATGATGGTCTCTCTTTAAAGTAAACTGCTTACTGTGCTTTTATTAACAAAGAAATTTAATCAAGATTCATTGCCACCCTTCCTTAACCCTTTCCCCTTTTCCACATCACATTGCCTTTCTTTTCATTTTCCATTATTTCTCTTCCCTCTTTTCCCTTTCTTCCCTTTTCCTTCCCCACCTTTACCTTTCTCTTGCCTTCCCCTTCCCCTATCGCTTCATTTCGTTTCCATTACCACACTTCCCTTTCCCATTCTCTTATCTCTCCATCCCCTCTCCTATTCCTTCTGTTTACTTTTTATTGTCCCTCTTCCCCCATTCCTCTCCATTTACCTTCTCTCTCCCCTCCCCTTCCCTTATCCCTTCATTTCCTTTCCATATCCACACATCGCTTTCCCCTTTCCTTTCCTTTCCATTCGCTCTTAATTCCATTTTCCCACTTACCCGTTCTTTTCCTATTTTTTCCATTTCCTGCGTCCCCCCCCNTTTTTCCTTTTTCCTTTTTCCTTTTTCCTTTTTCCTTTTTCCTTTTTCCTTTTTCCTTTTTCCTTTTTCCTTTTTCCTTTTTCCTTTTTCCTTTTTCCTTTTTCCTTTTTCCTTTTTCCTTTTTCCTTTTTCCTTTTTCCTTTTTCCTTTTTCCTTTTTCCTTTTTCCTTTTTCCTTTTTCCTTTTTCCTTTTTCCTTTTTCCTTTTTCCTTTTTCCTTTTTCCTTTTTCCTTTTTCCTTTTTCCTTTTTCCTTTTTCCTTTTTCCTTTTTCCTTTTTCCTTTTTCCTTTTTCCTTTTTCCTTTTTCCTTTTTCCTTTTTCCTTTTTCCTTTTTCCTTTTTCCTTTTTCCTTTTTCCTTTTTCCTTTTTCCTTTTTCCTTTTTCCTTTTTCCTTTTTCCTTTTTCCTTTTTCCTTTTTCCTTTTTCCTTTTTCCTTTTTCCTTTTTCCTTTTTCCTTTTTCCTTTTTCCTTTTTCCTTTTTCCTTTTTCCTTTTTCCTTTTTCCTTTTTCCTTTTTCCTTTTTCCTTTTTCCTTTTTCCTTTTTCCTTTTTCCTTTTTCCTTTTTCCTTTTTCCTTTTTCCTTTTTCCTTTTTCCTTTTTCCTTCTTCCTTCTTCCTTCTTCCTTCATTCTTGTTCCTTCTTCCATCCTTCTCATGCATGCATTCTATCTATCCATCCATCTGTCTATCTATCTATCTATCTGTCTATCTGTCTATCTATCTATCTATCAATAGATTGGGTTAGACCATGAAAATTTTGGCTTGGAAAAATATATATTTTAACATCTAAAATTTATATTTCAACTGAAAAAGTTGAAAATTCATATCTATCAATGTAATAAATCTAGGACCTGAGATTACGCTACTCAAAGTCTAATTACAGTCTCACTGACTCTATCTCTAGCCAAACTCAAGGCTCTCAATCTCTAGCCAAAACTCAAGGCTCTGTATACGTCCGTATAACACAAAGGTTCATGTAGTACTAAATTTATTTATATACAGGTAAATCAAACTGACCGGATCGGCCGGTCAGAGCAACATTGAAATAGATAAGACATATATTGATAACATAGATAATAAAGATCGTGATAAGCATTACAACAGAAAATGCTACATTAATACATATATCTATTAATCTGTATATATATTTATCTATATTAAAGTGTCTATATATCTACCTATATTTCTTTCTATCTAACTATTGTTATATGTATCTACTTTATCTATCTATCTATGTATCTATCTATCTATCTATCTATCTATCTATCTATCTATCTATCTATCTATCTATCTATCTAAACTAATTGTCTCTGTTCTGCATAAAGAATAAGTATTGTTCTGTCTCAAGCATACACTACAGCGGAAATGTAAAGTGTCTTCTGTTCTTCTGTATCTATCTATCTATCTATCTATCTATATATCTATCTATTTATCTATCTATTCTTTTATCTATCTAAATATCAAAAACTTTGGCTTTCTTTATCTATGTTTATTTGTTAATAGGGGATCAACATAAGATCCATTCTATTTTTTTTCTGTTTCTTTCAAACACGTTTTTCTTATACCAACATTTATATCTTTTAAATGGTTAATATTATTCACAAAAATTTCAAAATCAATGACATTATTAATTTAAATCCATGGATGAAATATAAGCTATTAAATGTTTTTATTTTGATGTAAAATTCCTCTTGGAGAAGACTTTTCTAGCGATTTTTCTTTTTTTCCCAAAATGTTGATAATAAATATAAATTTGATAAAATAATCTATATTTATTTGCAGATGATTAATTAATGGATGAATGGAGAGGATGGCTGAGGTGGTTCAAGAAATACCTTGTAGAGATACAGATCCTTTACCAGGGGTAATATACAATACATATAGGGGTTATACTAAAAATAATCCATGAGTACACGAATAAATCCAGGGGTTAAACTGAACATTAAGTACATTTGTACAATATTTATTATAACACAGAACATTGAGTTAATTTGTACAATTTAGGGGTTATACTGAACATTAAGTACACTTGTACAATTCAGGGCTATACTGCTTAAGTTAATAAATTGTGTACGTCAAGCACATTTGCCAGGGGTTAAAGCAAACATTGAGTAAACTTTCTAGGGAGTTGCCATTCTATGCTGCGCGCACATGCCTCATAAAATTCCAAAACAGAGAGAGGGGGATTGAATTTTGTAAATCCAGAAATTGGTATTTATTTAGGGTTAGGTTAGGTTAAGACACTTTCTGGGCCGAGCGCTGCGGCTAGGACAGGCTAGGGGGCCGAGCGCTGTGGCCACATGTCTTACATTTAAGACCCCACCAGCTGCCAGTCTCTACGCAGGCATCCCACAGATATTATTTTTCTGGATCTACAAAATTCAATCCCCCTCTCTTTGTTTTGGAATTTTACGGGGCATGTGCGCGCAACATAGAATGGCAAATGCCAACTTTCTAGTGTATATTCATTTAATTTGTTAAAATTGTTGAATGACAGAGTGATATGTTTCAGGAAGACGATTTAGACAGTAATCGAGACAGTCCTGTTGCTTTCACCATAAACTTTGGATTTGGTAATACATATAGACATATGGAGACATAGACGTAAATATGACATAGACATATACAGGGTGTCTCTGAAAAAAGTGTGTTTATGCTTTCTAGCGTGCTAAATTTAGTTCAAATGTGGTAAAAAGTGCTTCTTGTAGGTACAATGTCCACAAATAGGGAAGGCCGGGGAGGTCGTCGATGAACATTTTTCTCTTAAATGCTGTTTTAATCTTCAAACCTAATTTTCGGTCTTCTTTACAAAGTTTTTTTTAAAATTCGAATTATAATTTTATTTTTATGTTTTATACGACAGATAGAATAATAATAGATAATAATAGATAATAATAATTTTTAATAATAGAGTTGAGAATTTTTAAAACTAAAACTAAATTTTGTTGAAAATCTATGTGAAAGGGACCGACTACATTTCGAGTACATTTTAAAGCCTAAAACGGCATTTTATCGTCATTGTACCTTAAACGATGTTTAGTGGGTAAACGCTAGGAATATCTTTGGAAATGGGACAGAGCACATTTTCAAATATTATGCCTAATTTTCATTAACATTAAACCGTTTATTTCTTAGAAATAAAACAATTTTGGCCTCTGTTAATGCCCTATGGTGTACCTACTAGAAGAACTTTTTAACACAAATCAATTACGTTTATTAGGCTAAAAAGTCTAAATTCAATTTTTAAGAGACACCTTGTACATATGTAGACATTTTTAGACACATAGGCATACATTATAGAACAAACATATATAGACATTGACATAAACAGACATAGACAATACATAGACATATAAAGACATAGAAAAAGACATATTTAGTTTAGTCATAACAATATAGACATATGTAAACATTGATATATAAATATAGACAGATATAAACATGGAAATGTATTGGCATAGACATATATATCGACATAGCCATGGTGCACATTATCGACATAGACATACAGACATAGATGAGGATAAAGCTAATGCTATTATTCCTAACGATTTAAACTTAAATCATGTTTGTCTCCATATGGAATTTTCCACGATTGCTATCAAATTTAATATGATATTTTTCATATCCTAAAATATTGAGATTAAATTTTTAAGTTGATTTTGAGATATTTATGTTTATTTATTGATAAACTGCTAATATGGAACATATATTTAAACCATGCTCTACACTAGATTATATTTCATATTGATATTATTTCAGAAAAAGACCTAGACCTAGACCTAGACCTAGACCCAGACCTAGACCTAGACCTAGACCTAGACCTAGACCTAGACCTAGACCTAGACCCAGACCTAGACCTAGACCTAGACCTAGACTTGTATCTAGACCTAGACCTAGACCTAAACCTAGACCTAAACCTAAACCTAGAGCTGTATCTAGACCTAAACCTTTAGCTGTATCTAGACCTAAACCTGTATTTAGACCTAAACCTAGACCTTATCTAGACCTCGACCTAAACCTAGAGCTGTACCTTGACCTAGACCTAGACCTAGACCTAGACCAAGACCTAGACCTAGACCCAGACCTAAACCTTGACCTAGACCTAAACCTAGACTTAGACCTAGACCTAGACCTCTATCTAGACTTAAACTTAGACCTGTATCTAGACCTAGACCTTGACCTGTATTTAGTCCTTAACCTAGGTATCTAGACCTGTATCTAGACCTAAACCTAGACCTATATCTAGACCTAAACCTACACCTGTATCTAGACCTAGACTTGTATCTAGACCTAGACATAGACCTGGACCTAGAAAAGTGTTCAAAAGTATTTACAAAAGATTAATCAGGGTTTTTTCTCTTCTCATACAATTTCTTCATTACACAAATAATTCATTGATATATTCCTTTTTCTGATATTTTGCTGGAAATTATTGTTTTTGTTCGTCCCTGTGTTATTAATGCTTGGTATATTTCTACGCGGTTCTTATCTAAAATAATTTTTCTTACTTTTTTTGTAACGCTCATTGTTGTCAATAAAGCGTCAAAGATTATATTAATCCAGATTCCAGATCCAGTTCAAAAATATTTCCGAATTTCTTTTGATGATGAAAATTTCCTAAATTAGTTTATTTTTTGGTTTCTAATTGTTTGCTTCAACTTGACTGACCAGTGAACATTAAGGTTTTGTTTTACAATCTTGCATTAGTCAAAACTTAAGATTCGTCTGTTTTATTTCCATTTTTTTTGTTTTTTTTGAAGTTGTTGTAGTGAAATATTCTCGAATAAGACATTTTTCAAGACATTTACTTATTTTTTCTATTCTTAGATCAGTCAGATGAGAGGGAGAAGGCCAAAAAGTTAGAAAGATTTGCTCTCAGGTCTCATCCTTTCCCAAATTCACTCATTCATAATTCATCCTTTCCCAATTCATTCATTCATAATTCATCCTTGCGTAATTCATTCATGCATAATTCATCCTTTCCCAATTCATTCATTCATAATTAATCCTTTCGTAATTCATTCATTCATAATTCATCCTTTCCCAATTCATTCATTCATAGTTCATCCTTTCGTAATTAAATTAATTAATTAAATTTTCAGTCTCTGTTTTTTTTAAATCCTACGACTTTCGTTTTAATAAGTAGTAATAATTGAGGTATATTGATCAGAATAAACATAGGTCTTGCTTCAAGAACTTTTTAATTTTCATATCTCATATTCAGTGCCTTACATAACATTTTAGAAGTTTAGTTTATCTGAACAATTTTTAATTTTGTTCAAAAAACTTTTAATGAATAGAATGTCATGATGACTTTTTTCAGATCAAGTCTTCGAAAGCCGAAATCTCCTCGAAATCAACCGACCTCTCCCACAGAGGGGAAATCAACCAGCCTCGAGGCTATGAGAAATCCGTCCTCAACGAGTCCTCAGCATTCCAAGTCCTCCCAGCATGCCAAACTAACCCGAGATCGAAGTTTTGTCCGAGAAAAGAGTAATATTAGCTCGGGCCGTGCAAAATCCGCAAAATCTGTGATTAATAGTTTTAAAATTCCGCCACCAGGTGTCTCTAAACTCGCGACACATAGCACACAGCTCTCAACACACAGTGAACAAATGGCGACGACGCAAAGTCGAAAGACGACAACGATCAATGGCTATAATCGTCGGTTGACCACGACGTTGTCGCCTGAAGAATCAAAAATGTTCTCACATTTCGAAAAAGTTTATAACAACATTAAATACTCCTTAATGTTTGGTTATCACTGTATATGTTAAATCCTTGATATATTGCAGAGGACTAAAAAGAGTTTGGAAATTGTTGAATATAATTATGAAGACGACTTTGAAGTCCCGTCTTCCCCTCCTAGCGAAACAGGTTTTTATAAGAATATCTAAAGGGGGTGCTTACAATATTGAATGTGTTGATTATCATTTTTTTGTAGTTTTTCATCTTTTCTTTTTATTCAGTCAGAATTAATAGCTTTTTATTTTTTATGTTTACATGTTCAGGGTGGTCATTTTTCAATTTCTTTTGAATTTGTTAATATATTTTTTCTTCGTCAGTATAATTTTTTAAAATTCCCTTTTTCTATTATTTTAAATTCTTTAAAATTTTTAATTAATCCATGAAATGTGAACTATACAGGCACCTACACGGTGGGGAAAGATGAGGAAGAGAAGGCAGCAAAAAAAGAAGAAAAAGCCAGGTCCCACAAATTATTATTTTTTTTATTGTAAACTCAAAAAATGATTATTTTGTAATTTGAAAATGGTAGAAATTCTTGTTTAAACTTAAAAGGCCTGTCAGACCCTTTAATGACGAAGTGGGAAGTCTGATAAACAATAATGATCTAAAAGCCAAGGTTATAATGCAAGGAAAGTTAATTGCAGTTGCGTATACTCGTACAGTTTCGTACATAATGAAACCAGTTCTCTCTGGGCGGAATTTGTAAAAACAAGAATAGATGCCTCAGTGTTCGTCTAGTATTCGAAGAGGTTAAAAGCATTGAATTTTGATAATTCACATAATAGTTTCCTATGACCAGAATATTTCATTGATTATTTATGTGAAAGATGGATCCCATGTCAGGCTTCGACATCCGTCTTGTGTTTACATTACCGCCCAATGACAGTACACTGCAGTACAAAAGATGCGTACACCTCTGAAATAACTTTCCTTGCATTAAATCCTTGCTAAAAGCTTTCTCTAGTAAAGTACTAATTAAATATCCATTAATCATTAATCCATTAATCACACATTTGCTGCTTCAGAAATTAACAGAATTAAGTACTTTTCTAGCTAGAAAATCAGCGTTATCTTCATTATTGATCAGACAAAGGTTTGATGGATTTACTGTTTTGAACCGGTCATGATCGTATTTGATTGGTTCATCATTTCTTTAAAAAATGTTGTTTTTAAAGATACATCAAAAAAGTCTACCTACCTACCTACCTACCTACCTATCCTACATTTATATCACTATATCTATATATCTGTCTGTCGTCCTATTTACCTACCTATCTATAAATCTTTATACCTTCCTACCTACCTATATCTATTTATCTATCTATCTACCTAGGCCACCAGCCTACTGGTCCTGTTAGCCCGGAAAATCTCAATTTCTCCTTAGAAAGTCAATCTCCTAGTCCTAACCAGGTGATTGATTGATTGGTTTGGTTGATTGATTTGATTAATATAAAATTCTCTCTTTGAATCAAGAATTTCATTTTTCTGAACCTACAATGGTTGTTAAGCTTTGTAACATATATGCATCTAGTCTATATGGTTCTAACTTATGGGATTTGTTTTGTGTTAACACTGTAAAATTGTATACTTCTTTGAATACTGCTATTCGTATTTTATTTGGTTTACCACGACAAACTCATTGATATTTTATTGAACAAATTTCTGAGCAAATTCATTTAAAAACTATGTTGTGTAGCCGATTTGTATCATTTTGCGAATCTATGTGTAAAAGTCCCAAGCTCAGCATCCGACTATTGTTTGATTTATGCAAAAATGACCAAAGAACAAAATTGTGTAAGAATTCTATATTTTATATGTTATGTATCTCATTCCTCGTTGATTTTAAATTGTACCATTATAATTGTGTACGAATAAAATAGAAATAGCAAAATATTTCCAAAACCCCTATTCAATATTAGTGAATCTAATCAATATATATTAATAAGTGTTTGAAAAATTGAATGAAAGGATGAATGGATAAATCAATATATGAAAGAATGAATATATAGCCAATTCGTACTTTTTTCAATTAAAATTTTCGTGGATTTTTTCATTTCTGTTTTCATGATATTTTGTATCTAGGATTCTGATGATGGTGAATCCTATATGAAACATACCCAACACCTAGTTGATATTATGGAGGCTAGAATACAGGTAATACAGTACATATGTTGCACATATTTTTGCATAATATCCTATATGAAACTTACATCTAGTTGATATTACGGAGGCTAGAATACAGGTAATACAGTACATGTTGTACATAATAACCTATATGAAACATACCCAACATATAGTTGATATTATGGAGGCACGAATACAGGTTAGAAAGTACATATGTTGTAGACATTTATGCAGGATAAAATATATCTTATTATACTACAGGCTTTTAGTACATGCATAAGGCTATGCAAAATGTATAAGTGAGTCAATGCGTGAGTTAATGAGTGAGAACATAAATTAAAAATCTTCATGTTTATTTAGATTTAAAAAAAAAACATTTTTCTTTTCAAACATTCATTTGAGTATAACGGTTTATCCTTTCAACTTTCAGCTACTAAAGTTATTTTATATTCTATCTATTTATCTATTTATCAATTAATCTATCTATAATATTTGATATTTATATCAATGTTTATGTATTTTTGGTTTGTATACAAAACTCTGTTAAAGCGACTGTAGATGTAACTTAAAGTGACACTTCACTTAAAGAGTGGCATCTTAAAAGTGTTCAATTCTGACAAATTTAAAATCAATTGATATTTTTGTCCAAAAACATTTGATTACAAAAGTGTTAGTATTTTAAGAGTATAAAATGTTTATATAGAAAAACCGTTGAAATTAAACAGTAACCAGTCAATTTATTTTTTTCAACACTAAACACTTTATTTTAAAGAGAAATTTGAGATTCTATTTTTTTATTTCTTTAGAGATGCTCAGGGAGTGTAGGAAGTTTAATAAACCGGTCCAAGGTATCCCGTACAACTAGTAGCAGCAGTACAGCAAATACCAGCACTGTACATTCAGCCAACAGTGCAACTAGGAAAACATCGGCTTCAAGAACATTGAGGTAGAGTAGTGCCGCCATTTTGGGTTAAGAGACTTCCCGCCATTTTTTTAGTGATTTACCGCCATTTTTAAAAGATTTTCCGCCATTTTGATTTAAGAGAGTAAGAGAGCAATTCCCACCATGATATCTTACTGAGTACAGTGTATTAACTTAATCTTTTGTAGATAAATGTTTTATCAAGCTCGTTATTATTTATCATCTTTGTTCTTCTTTCATTTCAATGATTTGATTTATTTTTTATTACTGTTGTTTCCACCATTTTGGTTTCAATGACTGTTGCATTTTGAATTAAATAACAGAGTTTACAAAGAAATGCAGTTGCAGTCAAATTTCGGAAAAATTGATAAAATGCAAAATAATTTCTGGAAAATATCGCTTTATTCAACACTTTGTAGTACTGAAAGGAGTGTACATTGTACATTGTACAATTCTAGCGTAGCTCCAACAGTTTTTTTTAAATATTCAAATTAATGTGAATTGAGAAATAAAATACTCCTTCTTATTTGCAGTTAACGCAACAATTAACTAGATTAGATTTGGTGCTCATATTTATTAATGAATAAATTTATTAAAATTACTAATCACTAATTATGTAATCGACCTCTGTTTCTGTACTCAATCTCTGTTTATGTACTCAGTAACCTCTGTTTATGTACTCAGTAACCTCTGTTTATGTACTCAGTAACCTCTGTTTATGTACTCAGTAACCTCTGTTTATGTACTCAGTAACGTTTGTTTATGTACTTAGTAACCTCTGTTTGTACTCTGTAACCTCTGTTTAATGTACTCAGTAACCACGAGATTGGAAGAGAACTCGAGGATGCTAAGGAAGCCTGGAAAAGACGGAAAAACTATGATCCTCTGGCAGCCTCAGGTAAAAAAAAAGTTTTTTTTATTCAAACCATTTTAGAGGGACTGTAAGCGTAATTTCAAGCAACCCTCCATGCAAAGATGGCAATGCCCGATTCACAACGATACTCTTAAAAGTTTTGTCTGATCAAGTATGAATCATAAATAATCCTCGATAATTTTGAAAACTGGTAATATTTTCAATTGTGGTTTCTCTAAAAAAGTGACTTGTGTATTTTAACTGCAGGAAAACAATGTAGGAATTATCAGAATTAAACACTTTTAACACTAGAAAAAGGAATATCTTCTACATTATTGATCAGTTAAAGATTTCATAGGTACCGTTGCGAATCAGGCATTGTAATCTTTGCACTTCCCAATTAAAATAACGCTTACAGTTCCATTAAATCACTATTTTTTGTTGTCATTCACAATCAGATTTCTTGCTTTCAGATTAATAAATGCTGCTTTGCTAAACTCCAATTTTTATTGTTTATTATCGAATTTTTTTGTGCAATTTTTTCTTTTTCAAAACAAAAATCTTAAAAGCATTCTTATTTCTCAAATTAAGTTCTTATAACATCTATAAACTACAGGAAATAAAAATGATAATGATAAATGATAATCTAAATTTAATAATAATCAATTTAATTTAATGTATGCAAGTGACAGCTAGTGGTTGAATTTTGGTTAATCAAAAATAATTTAAGTGATATGCAACATTCATATTAAAGGGAGTGTTCGCGAAAAATGAAAGGGGGTATAGGCTTAATGCGATAAAAAAGCGCCTTTGATCGCTACTAATCTTACTTCTATCTGTTGCGTCTATAAGAAGCAAATTGTTAAAGACGTCTCATATCGAATAACAATTAGCGCCCATACAAATTCAGAAAATTGCAACATGCAACTTAGACCGTAACAAAAATCAATTTAACTTCAAACAAATCATTCAGATATTACAACCTATAGTCATAGATTATCTTTCGCCACATTTGTATATAGTTTATATTTCATAATATTTTATTTTTTTAGAAAACGTTTTAACGAATTTTGAAAAAGTGCGCGGCATCCTTAGATAGTTGCGCAAGCAACAAGAGAAATAATCAAATTCAAAACAAATTAATTAAAAAATATTATAAAATATAAACTATCTACAAATGTGCCGAAAGATAATCGATGACTATAGGTTGTAATATCTGAATGATTCGTATGTTGCAATTTTCTGAATTTATATGGGCGCTACGCTCTTCAGTATTAGACGTCTTTATCAATTTTCTCCTTATAGACGCAACAGATAGAAGTAAGATTAGTAGCGATCAAAAGCGCTTTTTTATCGCATTAAGCCTATACCCCCTTTCATTTTTCGCGAACACTCCCTTTAAGCTTTTTGGCAACCGAATTTTCAGTATATATAAATATATCATTTGGTTAGGGTTTCCAGCGAAAAAGGTTAAATTTCGAATGAATGCGAAAAAAAATATTTTTTCGCATTCATTGGCACGAGAAATTGAGAAAATTTTCGCGTTTCTCGCGAAAATTTACGATTTAATCTTTTTTGCGAAAAAATGCAAAATTTTCGTGAAAAAATAAATGCGAAAATTTATCGGAAAAACTAATGCGAAAACTTTGGGGGGAAATTCATAATCGCAAAAATATGCGTACATTCGCAAAAAGTGTGTGAAATACGAACAAAAATTAATATAGATATTATTTTATAATATAGATATATTATTTTATAATATAGATATATTATTTTATTATTCATAAGTTTGTGGTTAAATACTTACTGTACCTTTGGTTGAACAAATTTAAACAAATCAACCAATAATTCAACAACATTCCTTCAAGCAACATAAGGATAGAAACCTAATTTGTTTAAGGTCGGAAAAAGGAGGTCGTAAAGGAGTTCACGAAGGAGGAGGTTACAAGGAAGACCTCTAGTTCTAGCCTCATCTCCCCAAGGGAGGTCAAGTCAAGGGTTAACAGTATCAGAGACTCCGCTCCCAAAAGTGCGGGCTCAAGGTCAGTCTTTTTCAGAATTTTTCGGTTATTTTCGGTCTTTTTTGGTCTTTAATCATCTTTTTGGTCTTTTTAGTCTTTAATAGTCTTTTAGGTCTTTTTGGTCTTGATCGATCTATTTTGGACTACCTATCTATCTATGTCTTGTTGGTTTCGTAGTTCAAGCCTGATTGGTATATTACAGTATATATATATATATATATATATATAT